AGGCAGCCCAGAGTGATTGTGCTGCCTTTTGGTGGGCCAGAGGAGCCTGCAGTGGGCAGGGGGAGCACTGAGGCAAGAGCTCCAGGGAACACTGATGGCCACATATCCAGGGAGGGGCTGTGCCTGGGCAGGTGGGGGCTTAAATGTGAGTCAGGGTCCACAACACAGCCCCATCATTGCAGGGACGTGGAGCTGGTGGGATCACACCATGGCCTGGGTCCCTCTCCTCCTCGCGGTGCTCGCCCACACCTCAGGTGCCATGGGTGGACTCTCTGTGCCTGGATGGGGCCTTTGGGCACAGGGGTCCCGTCTCTCTGCCCAGGGAGGACTGTGCTCCTGGGGCACTGACTGACTCCTGTCTTCTCTTCTCTCTCCTCTCCCTTTTCAGGTTCCCTGGTCCAGGCAGCGCTGACTCAGTCACCTCCCATGTCGGTCAAAGTGGGAGACACCGTCAAGATCACCTGCTCTGGCCTTAGCAGCAGCTATCCTTATGCTGGCTGGTACCAGTACCAGTACCTTACCCTGGCAGTGCTCCCATCACTGTGATCTATCAAAGCACCAACAGACCCTCGAACATCCCTTCGCGATTCTCCGGTTCTGCGTCCGGCACCACGGGCACATTAACCATCACTGGGGTCCAAGCCGAGGACGAGGCTGTCTATTTCTGTGGTGGCTGGGAGAGCAGCAGTGATGCTGGTATAGTGACAAAGAAAGATTTTCCAGTCATGTAAAGCAGAATTACAAATGGAGTTTTTCTGTCCTTCTCATGGCCAAGCAGGGTTGTGAATGTGGGGCTAGGGCAGGTTTTTGTCTCCTCTGCACAACCTTCGCTCTGAATAACCCCCCTTTCGTTTCCTAGAGCCCTAGAGGTGAACTTCTGTCTGTAGACCATTGTCCTGGTCCCTGCAAAACTCATGGTGTGGCTTTGTCCCTGACGCCACTCTGTCTTGCTACTGATGACCATGTGGTCCTGATGCTGCCAGAGCAGTCTCTTTGCTGGGATATATTGGGCTCACCTCTGTTCAAGTTTTCCTGTGTCAGTGGTTTCATCCATTCTCCTCTGACTGTGGCACTCCCCATCCCACTGCCCGGGAGTTGGCTGTGCTAAATGGGTGCTGTCTGACCCATATCTTCTCCCTTCTCCATTCTTTCTCTCCAGGTTTGCTAGTCCAGGCCTCATCCATAGGTCAGCCTTCCTCAGTGTCATCCAACCCAGCAGAAACCATCAAGATCACCTGCTCAGGGGGTGGCAGCTACTATGGCTGGTACCAGCAGAAGGTCCCTGGCAGTGCCCCTGTCACTGTGATCTATGATAACAGCGAGAGACCCTCAGACATCCCTTCGCGATTCTCCGGATCCACATCCGGCTCCACGGGCACATTAACCATCACTGGGGTCCAAGCCGAGGACGAGGCTGTCTATTTCTGTGGTGGCTGGGATGACAGCAGTTATGCTGGTATTGTGACACAGAGAGATGTGGAAATGAGGTACAAAAGAGTTAAAAATGGAGGTTTTCTTTCCTTCTCATGGCCAAACAGAGTTGTGGATGTGGGAGTGGTGCAGGTTTTTGTCTCCTCTGCACGACCATGGCTGTGAATGTCCCCACTTCTGTGTCCTAGAGCACTGTAGATGACTTTGTGTCTGTGGACCATTGTCCTGGTCCCTACTAATCTCATGGGGTTCCTTTGTCCCCCAGCCCTCTCTCTCTTGCTCCTCGTGACCATGTCATCCTTTTGCTGCCAGCGCTGCCTCTCTGCTGTGATGTATTGGGCTTGGCTCTGCTCCCCAAATTTCCCTCTGGTTGTGGTTCCATCCATTCCCCTCTGACTGTAGCATTCCCCCTCCAACTGCCCAGGAGAGGACCGTATTCTTGGGGCACTGGCTGATCCCCACTCTTCTCCCCTCTCTCTTCTTCCTCTCCAGGTTCCCTGGAGCAGCATCACTGAGTCAGCTGTTCTTGTGTCAGCCACCATGGGAGAAACCATCAAGATCACCTGCTCTGAGGGTAGCAGTGCCTGTGGCTAAGTCCAGCAGAAGGTCTCTGGCAATGCCTCTGTCACTGTGATCTGTGCTGGCACAAAGAGAGACCCTCAGTGGTGCTGGAGGACATGGATGTGACAGGGCTCCTGGCAGTAAAGAGCTGTGGTGTGACTAATTGCTGCTGCCCTCCAAATGTCTTGTCCTGTGGTTGGTGCTGTTGCCCAGAGAAGCTGGGAGAATCCCTGCCATTATCTCTGGGCATCCTGCTCTGGTCCATGGGCTCTGTGCCACTCGCCTCTAGTGAGAGCAACTGTGCTGAAGGGCCCTGTGTCTGTGTGAGAGGCTCTCCCCTGTGAGCGTGGGCTGCCTTGGACAGGCTGCCGTGCAGAAGCCCTGAAGGCTGTGGCCAGGACTGGAGGAATCTCTGGACCTGGTGGGAGCTGTGGCAGAGGTGAGAGACAGCAAGGGCAGAGTCCCGTGCCAGGCTCTGCTCTCAGTTCCTCCAGCACTGTCCCTGAGGCCCTTCTTGTCCCCACACGGTGTCAGTGTGGTTCCACTGCACAGTCTGAGGTTCACAGGGCTGCCAGGAGGCAAAGGGGCTGTGGAAAACCAGGTGCCAGTGTGTAACACTGTGGTGCAGACCCCCAGCTGGGGGCTTAAAAGCAAGTCAGAGTCTTCTCTCTCCTCTCGCTCTCTGGGTTCCCTGGTCCAGGCAAGACTCAGCCATTCTCAGCGGCAGCCAATGTGGGAGACACCGTGAAGATCACCTGCTCTGGGAGTAGCATCAATTTGTATGGCTGTAGCAGCAGAAGGTCCCTGGCAGTGCCCCTGTAACTATATAACATCCCCTGTCTATGATAGCACCAAGAGCCCACAGACATCCCTTTGGAATTCTCTGGATCCCAGTCCAGCTCCATGGGCACATTAACCATCCCTGGGGCTAAAGCTGAGGACAAGGCTATTACTGTGGTGGCAGGGACAGCAGTGGTGATGTCTGCCCTGCGATGCCACCTCATGCTGCTGGCAGCCGCGTCCTCTTGCTCTGCCAGGTCTCTGCATGGAGCCCCAGGGCTCAGGCCTTGGGCTTGGCATGGGGCAGTGGTCCCTCTGTTCCACCAGGACCTTTGGGTTCAAGAGCCCCGACCCTCTGCCTAGACAAGGCTGTGCTCCTGGGACACTGGCTAACCCCCATCTTCTGCCCTCTCTCCATTCCCTCTCCAGGTTCCCTGGTCCAGGCAGCACTGAGTCAGCTGTCCTCGTTGTCAGCCAACTTAAGAGAGACCATCAAGATCACCTGCTCAGGGGTTAGCAGCAGCTATCCTTACGCTGGCTGGTACCAGCAGAAGGTCCCTGGCAGTGCCCCTGTCACTGTGATCTACTGGAATGACAAGAGACCCTCGGACATCCCTTCACGATTCTCCGGATCCAAGTCCGGCTCCACGGCCACATTAACCATCACTGGGGTCCAAGCCGAGGACGAGGCTGTCTATTTCTGTGGTAGCAGGGACGGCAGCAGTGCTGATCAGCTCGGTGGAGGCACTGACTCTGGCATTCTGCCTCCTCTTACTGCTGCCATTTCTCCTTGCAGGACCCTCACACCTTGGGTTCTTTGTGGGTGGCTCTGGGCTCGTTCATCTCACTATGGGACCTTTGGGCACAAGGCCCCAGTCCCGATGCCCTGGGGAGGGCTGTGCTCCTGGGACAATGGCTGAGGCCCCTCATCTTCCCTCACTCTCTGTGTTCCCTGCTCCAGGAAGCATTGCTAAGTCCACTGTCCTTGGTGCCAGCACACCTGGGATCTCCTGTTGCAGGGGTAGCAACAGCTTGTATGGCTGGTACCAGCAGAAGGTTCCTGGCAGTGCTCCTGTCACTGTGATCTATGACACTGACACCAGACCCTCGGACATCCCTTCGCGATTCTCCGGATCCTGGTCTGACAACACGGGCACGTTAACCATCACTGGGGTCCAAGCCAAGGACGAGGCTCTCGGTCACTGCAATGCCCAGGAGGGCAGTGCTGGTTGGCATCCAAGTGCCCCATAGTGTGGCCATGCTTGGGTGCTCTGGGATGACTGTTGCTGTTTGCTTTGTGTGAGTGGCATCGATCCTTCTGCTGGTGCTGGAGGGTATGGAAGTGTCACAGCTCCTGAATAATGCACAACTGTGACTGGGTACTTCTCCCCACAAATACCATGGCCAGGAATCTCTGGACCTGGTGGGAGTTGTGGCAGAGGTGACAGACAGCAAGGGCAGAGTCCTGTGCCAGATTCTGATCTCAGTTCCTCCAGTGCTGTCCCTGAGGCCCTTCTTGTCCCCACACGGTGTCAGTGTGGTTCCACTGCACAGTCTGAGGTTCACAGGGCCACCAGGAGGCAAAGGGGCTGTGGACAACCAGGTGCCAGTGTGTAACACTGTGGTGCAGAGCAGCCCCCACTGGCTCCTTTGGAGGCTGCCCTGGGCTGTGTGGTGGGCAGGCAGCAGAGGGGCTGCTCCAGGCTGGACAAGAGTGGGAGGATGCTGTGGGCAGTTAATTGATATGAACTCCAAGTGGCTGTGAGGCCACTTGAGACCCCCAGCTTTGAATCTGGAGGACCTGGGGGCTTGTGTTTCCTTCCTGTTGAGTAGCCTTGAAGCTCCTGGTCTTGGTGTGGCTCCAGTGCCCTTTCACAGTCCCAGTTCTCTGCTTGGAGGTTCCCTTGTGGCAATGAAGAGAGGCCCAGTGTAAGCACCTGGTTTGAAGCAGGACCTGGTTTGCCCAGCTCCTGTGTCACTGCTGCTGATCAGTGCACAGGTAGTGTGGGCACCCGGGGACCAGGAAGCACCAAGCAGACTTGGGTGCTGCAGGGCAGGTGGATGTGTCCCCAGAGGAGCCTGCAGTGGGCAGGGGGAGCACTGGGGCAAGAGCTCCAGGGAACACTGATGGCCACATATCCAGGGAGGGGCTGTGCCTGGGCAGGTGGGGGCTTAAAAGGGAGTCAGGGCCCACAACACAGCCCCATCATTGCAGGGACGTGGAGCTGGTGGGATCACACCATGGCCTGGGTCCCTCTCCTCCTCGCGGTGCTCGCCAACACCTCAGGTGCCATGGCCAGACTTGCTGTGCTTGGATGGGGCCTTTAGGCACAGGGGTCCTGTCCCTCTGCCCAGGGAGGACTGTGCTCCTGGGGCTTTGACTGACCCCTGTCTTCTCTTCTCTCTCCTCTCCCTTTTCAGGTTCCCTGGTCCAGGCAGCGCTGACTCAGTCACCTCCGATGTCGGTCAAAGTGGGAGACACCGTCAAGATCACCTGCTCTGGGAGTAGCAGCAGCTGGGGTTATGCTGCCTGACACTACCTGGCACTGCCCCTGTCACTGTGATCTATCGCAACAGCAACAGACCCTCAGACATCCCTTCACGATTCTCCGGATCCGAGTCCGACTCCACGGGCACATTAACCATCACTGGGGTCCAAACCGAGGACGAGGCTGTCTATTTCTGTGGTGGCACAGACAGCAGCAGTGGCAGCAGCTATGGTGTGTTTTGACAACAAGCACCAGGAAGTGAGGCAGACTCCAAAATGAGAGGAAAGATTTTAACCCCTGTCCCTCCTTTCTGAATGTGGGGCTGAGGCAGGTTCCTGTCCCTTCTGCACAGCCACAACAGGGAATGTTGTTTCTTTCTTGTCCCAGAGAATGGGAGATCACATGGTGGCTGGGGACCATTGTCCTGGTCCCTATAAAACTCATGGTGTAGTTGTGTTCCTCACCCCACTGTGTCTTGCTACTGATGACCATGTCCTCCTGCTTCTGCCAGGGCTCTCTCTGTGCTGGGATGCGTTGGGCTGGGCTCTGCTCCACAGTTTCCCTGTAACCATGTCCGTGTGTGTTCTCCTCTGACTGTGGCATTCCATGTAACCTTGTCCAGGCAGTTCTATACTCTTTGAAACTGTGTGACCTTCCCTTTCCTCCCCTCTCTGCTCTCCCTTTCCACGTTCCCTGATCCAGGCAGCATCGCTGACTCAGCCGTCCTTATTGTCTCACAGCGTGGAGAAACTGTCAAGATCACCTGCTCTGGGGGTAGCATCAACTATTATGGCTGGTACCAGCAGAAGGTCCCTGACAGTGGCCCTGTCACTGTGATCTACAACAACAACCAGAGACCCTCAGGCATCCCTTCATGACACTCTGGCTCCTTGGGCACATTAACCATCACTGGGGTCCAAGCTGAGGATGAGGCTGTCTGTTTCTGTGGTGGCTGGGACAGCAGTGCTGATCAGGATGAAGGCATCCTGCAGGACAGTTGTTGACTGTGGGTTCTGTGGGATGCTGTTTTTGAGGGATGACTAAAGTTTGAGGACCACAGCTTCCAGGAGTGGTTTTGCAGGTTGGTAGTGCTCCAGAGGCCCTTGGCTATAGGGATACCTGGTGGGAACAACACACTGTAGTGATATCTGGACACTTGGCCATCACTGTGTCAGGAGTGACCCACCATAAATCTGGCAGTTTGTCTCAGCAGGTGAAGTGGGGTGTGAGATCTGTCTGGTGAGGGAGCTGGATGGGAGATGGGGAGAGAGAGGCCAGTAGGATCCTCCCTTGAATGCAGGGTCTGAATTGCATGAAAAAGCCATGACCCAGGAAGGTGGGGGCTTAAAAGCTAGAGAGAGTCCATGGCACAGCCCTGTCATTTTGGGGAGGCAGAGATGGAGAGATGGAAGCATGGCCTTGGCCCTTCTCCTCCTTGCAGTGCTTGCCCACAGCTCAGGTACCATGGCCAGATCAGCTGCACCTGGATGCAGCTTTTGGACACAGGGGCCCTATCCTGCTGCCAAAGTAGGATTTATTCCTGGGGTTCTGACTGATCCCACTCTTCTCCCTTCTCTCCTCTCCCTCTCCAGGTTCCCTGATCCAGGCAGCATCGCTGACTCAGCCGTCCTTATTGTCTCACAGAGTGAAGAAACTGTCAAGATCACCTGTTCTGGGGGTAGCAACAACTATTATGGCTGGTACCAGCAGAAGGTCCCTGGCAGTGCCCCTGTCACTGTGATCTACGCTAATAGCTACAGACCCTCGAACATCCCTTCGCGATTCTCCGGATCCCAGTCCGGCTCCACGGCCACATTAACCATCACTGGGGTCCAAGCCGAGGACGAGGCTGTCTATTTCTGTGGTAGCTGGGACAGCAGCAGTGGTGGCTACGGTGTGTGGTGCCAACAGGTAACAGAAAGCGAGACAGACTCCAAAACCAGAGGAAAGATTTCAGCCCTTCTCCCTCCTTGCTGGCTGTGGAGCTGAAGAATGTCCCTGTCCCCTCTGCACAGCCATGGCTGGGAACATCCTCCTTTTCGTGTCCCACAGAATTGCAGGTTCTCTTGATCCCCCCATGTCTGGAGAGCATTTCTTTGCCACAATAAAGATCACAATGTAGCCTTGTCCCTCACCCTACTCTGTCCTACTACTGATGACCATGTCCTCCTGCGGCTGCCTGAGCTGCCTCCGTGCAGGGATGTGTTGGAGTGGGCTCTGCTCCACAAATGTGCCTGTGACCATGTCCAGGTCCATTCTCTTCTGACTGTGGCATTCCCCATCCCTCTGCCTGGGGACGGCTGTTCTCCCAGGGCACTGGCTCAACCCCTCACCCTTCTCCCCTTTTTCTTCTCCCTCTCCAAGTTCCCTGGTCCAGGCAGCATCACTGAGTCAGCCATCCTCAGCCTCAGCCAACCTGGGGAGACACTGTCAGGATCAGCTGCTCTGGAAGTAGCAGCAACTATGGCTGGTACCAGCAGAAGGTCCCTGGCAGTGCCCCTGTCACTGTGATCTACTGGAATGATGGGAGACCCTCAGCCTTCATGATCTCCAGTGCTGTGACTGGTTCCACAGGATCACTGGAGTCCAAGCCAAGAACAAGGCTGTCTATTAGTGTGGCAGCCACAAAAGCAGCAGTGGCTGATGTCATGGTGACACTGAGCCACAGGCAAGTGAAATCTCAAGCATCAAAGAGGCTGATTTTGTCTCCTCCTTCCATTCAGCCAGGCAGGCTCCAGACCACCTCTCCAGCTTTGGGGATTTTCCTTTCCTTTCCTTTCCTGATGCCCTTCCCTGTGTGTTCCATGTCTCAGGGCTGTGACTGTGATGAGACATTAGAGCTGGTTTCCTAGAGAAATTGTGGATGCCCTATCCCTGAAAGTATTCAAGGCAGGTTTGGTTGAGGCTTTGCACAGCCTGGTCTAGTGGAAGGTGTCCCTGCCCATGGGAGGGGGTTAGAACTAGATGGTCTTGAAGGTCCCTTTCATCCCAAACCATTCTATGATTCTATGACTATGTTCCCAGTGACTGGGCCCTGGTGCTGCAGAAGCCCTGTCTGGGCTCATCCCCACTGCCCAATATCCATGTGAGGGGCAGAGGAGCACTGAGACAGTGTTAGAGCTGGAGCCTGAGGAGCTGGCTAAGAAAACCTTTGCCACATTTCTGCTGCCCCAGCCTGAATCCAGCCTGGGGCCCTGTGGCATTGCAGCTACCCTGGGTGCTCAGGACTGGGTGTGTGGGTGTTTGTCAGCCCATGGGAGCCTCAGGCACTGGAGCTGGGCATGGAGGCCTTCTGCCTCGACCTGTGGCTCTCACATGGCTCTGGCTTAGCTTTCCCCAGTGTCCATGTCTCTGGGGCAAGCCACCTGGGTCTGCTCTGCGAGTAGCAGCAATGCTTATGGCTGGTACCAGCAGAAGGTCCCTGGCAGTGCCCCTGTCACTGTGATCAGTGACACTGTAACACCAACAGACCCTCGCACATCTCTGTGATTCTTGGGATCCACACCCAGCTCCACGGGCACATTAACCATCACTGGGGTCCAAGCCGAGGACCAGGCTGTCTGTTTCTGTGGTGGTGAGGACAGCAGCAGTGATTCCACAGTCACATGGAGCAATGGGGAAGTGAGGTAAGAACCTCTTGCCATTGCAGACCTCAGTCAGGAGTCTCTGTTGTGCCCATTTGATGGTGGGGCAGGTCCCCATCATGGCCCTGCCCTTGCTGCCCTGTGCTGAAGGTGGCTGTGCCTCACGTCCCAGCTTGGATGGGACAGGAAGCATCACAGTGGAGGTGGAATTTCCCATGGGTGCAGCCACTCTTGGTCTGGGCTGGAGCTACCAATGACACCCGTGATCTCTGTGCCCTGAGTCAGAGCAGGAGCTGCCCCAGCTCTGGCTGCCTCTACCGAGCACCCACCCATTGGGCTTGTGACCAGCTCAGGGACAGGGAGGCATTGCTGGATGACTGTGCTTCTGGGGCTTTGACTGACTCCTGTCTTTTCTTCTCTCTCCTCTCCCTTTTCAGGTTCCCTGGTCCAGGCAGCACTGACTCAGTCGCCTCCGATGTCAGCCAAAGTGGGAGACACCGTCAAGATCACCTGCTCTGGTAGTAGTGGCAACTATGGCTGGTTCCAGCAGAAGGTCCTGGCAGTGGCCCTGTCACTGTGATCTACTACAATGATCAGAGACCCTCGAACATCCCTTCGCGATTCTCCGGCTCCTGGGGGATGTTTGCCATCACTGGGGTCCAAGCCGAGGATGCAGCTGTCTATTTCTGTGGTGGCTGGGACAGCAGTGGTACTGCTGGCACAGTGTTACAAAGCAATGGGGAAGAGATACAAAAACTTTCTTGCTCTTAGAGCCCCAGGACTGTTCACATCCCCTGACATTTGAGGAATTTATGACTGCCCAGTAGCCCTGTTGTGCCCCATAGTGTCCCATCTGTGTACCCACAGATAGAGTTGTCCCATCACTGTTCCCCTGCACGTGGAGAGCTGTGCTCCTGGAACACTGGTTAACACCACTCTTCTGCCCTTTCTCCTCTCCAGGTTCCCTGGTCCTGGCAGCGTTGTATAATCTCTCCTTGGTGTCAGCCATCCTGAGACAAACCATTGAGATCAACTGCTCCCGAGGTGATGGCAGCGTTGTATAATCTCTCCTTGGTGTCAGCCATCCTGAGACAAACCATTGAGATCAACTGCTCCCGAGGTGATGGCAGCTATGGCTGGTTCTACCAGACGGTTCCTGGCAGTGCCCCGTCACTGTGACCTGCTCTGATGACATGAGATCCTCAGACATCCCTTTGTGCTTGTCCACATCCAGCTCCATGAGCACCTGAACCATCACTGGGGTCCAAGCTAAGAAGGGGCTGTCTGTTACTGTGCTAACTACAAAAGCAGCAGCAGTAGTGTTACCACAGTCACTTGGAGAAACGGGGAAGTTTTAAAAGGGCCTCCCGCCATGGCAGGGGCCAGTTAGGAGTCTCTGCTGTTCCCTCTTCATGGCAGGGCAGGTCCCTGGCATGACTCTGCCCTTTTTGCCCTGTGCTAATGAGGCTGTGCCTGGTGTCCCAGCTCCATCCCAGGCAGCTCTGGCTGCCTCTGCCAAGCACCAGCCCGTTGGGCTCGTGACCAGCTCGCAGGGAGGCATTGCTGGACCCTGGGGATTGATGCTGGACCTCTCACATTGTTCTGGGAAGAGCAAAGATCAAGGTGGGAGATGCTGTGAAGATCACCTGCTCTGGGGGTAGCAGCAACTGGTATGGTTGGTACCAGCAGAAGGTCCCTGGCAGTGGCCCTGTCACTGTGATCTGGGATAACACCAACAGACCCTCGAACATCCCTTCGCGATTCTCCGGATCCATATCCGGCAACACGGGCACATTAACCATCACTGGGGTCCAAGCCGAGGACGAGGCTGTCTATCTCTGTGGTGGTAAGGACAGCAGCAGTGATGCTGCCACAGGGACATGGAGCAATGGAGAAGTGATACAAAACCCACTTGGCTTAGCTGTCTGTTACAGCCCCAGGTCTGTGCCCATCCCCTGGCATTTGAGGAAGTTATGACCTCCCAGCAGCTCTGTCGTGGCCCAGCGTGTCCAATCTGTATGCCTGCAGGCAGAATTATCCCATCACTGTTCCCCTGCCCGCAGAGGGCTGTGTGCTCCAGGATCAGGGGCTGACAGTCCTTTTCTCCCATCTCTCCTCTTCAGGTTGCTCGGTCCAGGCAGTGTTGTGTCATCTCTCCTTGGTGTCAGCGATCCTGGCACAAACTTTTCAGGTCATGTGTTCCAGGGTTGACTGGTACCATGGCTGGTCCCAGGAGAAGGTTCCTGGCAATGCCTTCATCTGTCACTGTGAACTATGAGAACACCCAGGGACCTTCGGACGTCCCTTTGCCATTCGCTGCATCCACATCGGGCTCCGTAAGCACCTGAACCATCACTGGGGTCCAAGCTAAGGAAGGGGCTGTCTGTTACTGTGCTAACTACAAAAGCAGCAGCAACAGTGTTACCACAGTCACTTGGAGAAACGGGAAGTTTTAAAAGGGCCTCCCGCCATGGCAGGGGCCAGTTAGGAGTCTCTGCTGTCCCCTTTTCATGGCAGGGCAGGTCCCTGGCATGACTCCACCCTTTTTGCCCTGTGCTAATGAGGCTGTGCCTGGTGTCCCAGCTCCATCCAGTAGAGCCCTTCCCTTGCTATTTGTGGAAAAGAGTACATGGGAAAGAACTGAATAACCTATTTCAGGTGGAAGAGCCCTTCAGTGATTACATTGTCCAACTGCCTGGACACTGCAGGGCTGCCAAAATGAAGGACATTGTCAACACACGCAGGCTGGGGATGTCATCCAACTCTCTAGGAAGCCTGTGGAGTGTTTGGCCACAGCCTCAACAAAGAAATGCTGCCATGACCTTTCAGCAACCCTGTCTCCACCATGGCCCTGCCCTTACTGCCCTGTGCTGCAGGTGGCTGTGCCCAGTGTCCCAGCTCAGACAGCCCTTACAGCCCCAGGTCTGTGTCCATTCCCTGTCGTTTTTGCAGGGCATCTGAAGTGCTTGGGAACAGACTAATCTCCATGGCCACATTCCTCATGGCTGGGGTCCAAGCCAAAGAGGAGATGGAGGAGGAGGAGAAGGAGGAGGAGGCTGTCTCTCAGTGTTCTGGCTGGCACACCAGTGCTGATCAGGGTCATGGCAACTCCCACCTATGGAGAAAGAGAGACACAAGCCCACCATTGCCCCAGGGTCCCTCAGGCGCTGCTGCTGCTGCTACAGCTTGAGCACAGTGCAGGAGCAGCACGTGTGCCTGTGAGGAGGTTCCTGCTGCGGGACACGTGCTCTGCTCCAGCAGGTCCCCTCTGTGCTGCCTGCAGGGACACAGCCCTGTTGCCCTGCCCTGGCCATGCCAGCCGAGATCCCAATGCTCCAGGCATTCTGGAGCCAGCATAGTCAGGACAGGGAGGGTCCTGGGGGAGGTAGAAATTTCCGGGGATGCAGCCACTCCTGGTCTGGGCTGGGGCTACCAACGACACCCATGATCCCTGTGCCCAGAGTCGGAGCAGGGCTGGCCAGGGGTTGCCCCAGCTCTGGTTGCCTCTGCTGAGCACCAGCCCATTGGGCTTGTGACCAGCTCAAGGAGAAGGGAGGCATTGCTGGACCGAGGGGACTGGTGCTGGACTGCTCCCACTGTTCTGGGGAGGGGATGCATGGGAAGAGCAAAGATCTGGAGTGGTGGATCTGGGTTGGCAGGAGAGGAGTGTGGGAGCCAGGGCAGAAAAGCCAGAGAGAAAGGGAGTATCTTATGGCCCTGGGACACACATGGGAGGCAAAAATGTCAAAAGTGGGAGTGCTGGGGATTCACATTGTCCCAGAGGCATCACTGGGTGGCCACCTGTGGTGGCTTCTGTCCCCCTCTGTCTTCAGTGTCCATCTCTCCCTCACCCTTCGGCCTTTGGTCCTGCAGGCACTCAGCCTGAACTGGGAATGAGGGGTCTGTGGGGGTGAATTTTGGCTTGGAGCTGGGAGGTGTCTCCGCTATGTGTCCAGGGACAAGCTCTGCTGCACCTGTGGTGGTGGGGCTGTGCGTGGAGCAGAGAGGGAGGTGACGAGAGAAGCGCGGGAAGGATCCGGCCGTGAGCGCGGGGTCAGATTTGCATGGAGGGGCTGTGTCCTGGTGGGGCGGGGGCTTAAAAGGGAGTCAGGGTCCGCGGCACAGCCCCATCATTGCAGGGACGTGGAGCTGGTGGGATCACACCATGGCCTGGGTCCCTCTCCTCCTCGTGGTGCTCGCCCACACCTCAGGTGCCATGGGTGGACTCACTGTGCCTGGATGGGACTTTGGGCACAGGGGTCCCATCTCTCTGCCCAGGGACGACTGTGCTCCTGGGGCTTTGACTGACCCCTGTCTTTTCTTCTCTCTCCTCTCCCTTTTCAGGTTCCCTGGTCCAGGCAGCGCTGACTCAGTCACCTCCCATGTCGGTCAAAGTGGGAGACACCGTCAAGATCACCTGCTCTGGGAGTAGCTACAGCTATGGCTGGTACCAGCAGAAGGTCCCTGGCAGTGCCCCTGTCACTGTGATCTATGTTAATAGCAACAGACCCTCGAACATCCCTTCGCGATTCTCCGGATCCAAGTCCGGCTCCACGGGCACATTAACCATCACTGGGGTCCAAGCCGAGGACGAGGCTGTCTATTTCTGTGGTAGCTACGACAGCAGCAGTAGTGCTGGTATATTTGGGGCCGGGACCATGTTGACCGTCAAAGGCGATGGTGAGTTGCCGATTTCTTCTCGGTCTTTCCTTCCCCAGTGCGAAATTGTGACATTTTGTCGATTTTTGGTGATTTGGGTTTTTTTTCTCGGACTTGGGGCTGGGCTGGGGGTCTGTCGCCCATTTGGGGACGGGCACGAAGTGCAGCGTTTTGGGCTGGGTCTTGTCCCTGTGGACTCTGAGCCATGAAGGACTGGGGGGTATTTTCCGACATGAAAGATCTTAAAATTCAACCAGGAAATATGTCTGAGGTCTCAGGAAGAGGAAAACTTAGGTTTCAGGCTGACAAATTTCTTTAACAAAGACAAAAATTGCCTTTTTTCGAGACCTAAACCTAAGTCCTCAACTCTTAGTCCTGAGGACTAAGTCTGTCACCACCGGTGAGAGAAAGGGGCTCCTCAGTGGGGTCCTGTGGCCGAGGGTGCAGGGGCTGTGAAAGAACAGCCGTGAACAGCTCGTCCCTGGGCTCTTAAATAAAAACTTTCAGAGGTATCCCAAAGAACCCATTGTCCAGGTAAGTCACGTCAAAAATGGGGATTAATGCTCTGAAAATGCTGCCGGGAATGTAATTTGTCTGCCTTGTCTGTAATTTTAAAAAGAATGTGATCAAAAATCCCAATTTGAACTAAATTACTGGGGACTAAGATCAAAAAAACTGTTCTTTGACCATTTTTATGCAGAAATTTTTTAATGGTGAAGTCATCCTGGTTTTTGAATAGAGATAGAAATAGAGAGAGATAGAAATAAAATGAGAGAGAGATAGAGACACTGTGCATTGGAGGAGGCAGCAGAACCACCTCAGAAAGACCAAACGTCTTTTCTCCATTTTTTTTTTGTAATTTTTACTTGTGCTTTTTCTGAGACATCTGAAATTGTCTGAAAGCAGAACTGCACAGAAAACAGAGTTGTTTTTCTGTGAAATTTGATTTTTTTTTTTTTTTAAACAAGTGGTCTTGCAAAAGGAAAGAAATAGGTTTGTGACAAATAACTAGAGATTTAGCTATGCATATTATAAATAAAAATATATAATATAATGTATATTGCATATAGGAAATGCATAAATGCATAAATGTTTGTTATATGCATTTTATAGAATTATACATATATTCATACAATGATATGTACTACATATGTAAGTATATTGTATACTTTATAGATGTTATCATTAATATATGTATATTATGTGTATTAGTTGTATATATCTGTAATATGTACAATGTATATGGACATATATGTAGAGATGGTGTATATAAAACATATATACAAGTCTATATGGGATGTATGTGTGCGTGTACATGCATTACACACATATATATGCACATATTTTACAGGTAAAAATTTAATAAATAAATTATAAATAATAAATAAATAAATAAACAAATAAATAAATAAATAAATATCTGGATGGATTTCCAAACTATAAATACATTGAAGTTATAAGTGGTAAGCTCTTGGCTGTGGGGGAAGCAGGGAGTTTGTGGGTAGTGCCAGCTGGACAGGCAGGGTCTGGGTGGGGCACAGGGCCCTCTCTGACCCACACCTCTCTCTTCCCTCACAGGCCACGTCGACACCGCTCCCACCATCCACCTCTTCCCGCCGCCCTCCGAGCAGATCTTGAAGGAGAACAAAGCCATTCTGGTGTGCCTAATTGAGGACTTCTACCCCAGCTCTGTGGAAGTGGAATGGGTGGCTGATGGCACCACCATCACAAACAACGTGCAGACCAGTCAGTCCGTGCAGCAGAACGACAGCAAGTACATGGCCAGCAGCTACCTGACACTGGATGCCAGCCAGTGGCAAAGTTACAACTCAGTCTCCTGCAAGGTCAAGCACGAGGCTGGCAATGTGGAGAAGACAGTGAACAGATCCGAGTGCCCCTAAGCCCACTGGGACCTCCTCGCACCCACCGGCCCTTTGCTGGCTCCCTCCCTCCTCCCCACTTCTGGGGACAGCGGCTCCCCCCAGCCACACACCTCGCTCCCCACATCCCCCTGTCCCCTGCACCTATTTCCCCACTACAAGTGTCAGACAAATAAAAACCGACACTGAACTAGTGCTGGCTCAGCATCCCTGTCTCTGTGTCCTTCCAACGCGCCCGCTCCCCACACACGGGCTGGTGTCAGCCCAGTGCCACCAGGCAGTGGGTGGGATGGGAACACACACAGGTGTACACACACACACAGTTATACTGGGGGGCTCTGTGCAGCTTCTGCTCAACCCTGGGGACCCCAATGAACCCCCCTGGCACGGTCAAGACCAGGGGATGAGCAGCCTGGGGCACAGCCTGCTCTAAACCCCCATGCCATCATCAAGCACATGTCGCTGGCTGTGCCATCCTTGTCCCTGTGCCACAGCAGCATGGGCTCCTGCATGCCATGTGCCCTGTCTCCAGCCCAGCCCTGCAGAAGTTTCCCTGTGGCCCTGCAGCACATGGAGGGGCTGATGGCCATGCTTATGCTGAGAGTGCCAGTGCTCTGCTGCTGTCACCCCATCAGAGCAGGCAGGAGCCACCCCAGGGACAGGGGGTGGGAGTGCCCAGTCACACTGTGTACAGTTCTCACCAGCCTCTTGGGAAAGGGGCAATGGGCCAACCACATCCTCCTCCCCAAGCTGTGCCAGTGGGATGCCTCACCCCAACAGGTTTTGGGTTGGCACATGTCCCTGCAGGTGCCATCTGAGGAGACAGAGTCATAGAACAGTAAAATAGTTTGAGTTGGAAGGGACCTTAAAAAATCATCCGGTCCAACTCCCTGGAATGAGCAGGGACATCTTCAAACAGATCAGGTTGCTCAGGGCCCCTTCCAGCCTGACCTTGAATGTTTCCCGGGATGGGACATCCACAGCTTCCCTGCACAATCTCTGCCAGCACCTTACCACTCTCACAGTAAGTTATCTGGCCTAAATCAACCCTTCTTTAATTAAGAAACATTACCCCTTGTCCTGTTGCATGGGAACCTGATAAAAAGTCTCTTCCCATCTTTCATATAAGCCCCCTTCAAGTACTGAAAGGCTGCTAAAAACTCTTCCTGCAGCCTTCTCTCTCCAGGCTGAACAACTCCAACTCTCTCAGCCTTTCCTCAGAGCACAAGTGCTCCAGCACTCTTGAGGTCTTTGTGGCCTCCTCTGGACAGGCCCAAACAGGTCCCTGTCCTTTTGATGTTGGGGCCTCCAGAGCTGGATGCAGTGCTCCAGGTGGGGTCTCACCAAAGCGATGTACAGGGACACAATCCCCCTCCTCGACCTGCTGCCCACACTGCTTTTGGTGCAGCCCAGGGCACCGTTGGCTTTCTGAGCTGCAGGTGCACATGGCCAGGTCATGCCCAGCTTTTATTCACCAAGAGCCCCAAATCCTTTTCAGGCTGCTGTCAATTCTCTCATCCCCCAACTTGTATTGATACTGGAGCATAGGAAGGATGTCTGGAGCCGGGTCATGGAGACTGAGGAGCAGCAAGGAGCAGAGGTCAGCCCCACTTGGGGCAGACCCCAAGCCCATCCTAGGGACTTGGACACTCACAAGCCCCATGTCTCCTCCCTGCATCCTGCTGGCAATCACCTGCCCTGGGCAGGCCAGGAGCCAGCCAACACCATCCCTGTGGGATGGGCACTCCCCACGCTGGGCTCTCTTGGGGCAGCAACACCAAACCTGCCAGGAAAGCAAATTGAAGAGGAACTTGGAGGGGAATTGAGTTTCTTTCATCCATCTCTTGTTCCCATGGACATACCAGGTTGGGCAGTGATGGCCTAAACAAAACAGTGGTCCTGCTGCTGGCAAAAGGAGCCTCATGTCTCCCAGTGCTGCCGGGGATCTCCCAGCACTGCCAGCCCTGGGTTCCAGCATTTCCTAAGACTTGATTCAATTCATAGAATCATGGAATCATTCAGATTGGAAAAGACCTCTAAGATCATCAAGTCCAACCATTAACCCAGTACCACTATGTTCATTGCTAAACCAAGTCCCCAAGTGCCACATCCACGCATTTGCACAGTCCTTCTTCCCTCCTGCTTTTTGGCAGGGAGCTGGCAGCAGGACCTGACCCCTCCTGAGGTGCCAACAGACACCTCGTGCCCCACCCCTGACAGCAGCATCTCATCCCCAGCCTTGTGGTGCTGCCAGGGCTTTCGCTCAGGAGAGTGTCTGCCTGGGGTTCTGCCAGCCAGAAATGCCCCAAGGACTGACACCTTCTGCCAGGAAGGACACTGGCTTCTTTTCCACTGGAAGGCTCAAGTCTCAGTAATTATGATTCCAGTAGTTGGTAAATCAGACCCTTAGCAGTGGTTGAGGCTGGAGTGAATGACAGGCAATGCAGGAGCCCCCATCTGAGCTGTGCTGACAGGTAAATAAATAAATATAATAAATAAATGCCACAATTTTTGAGGGGGGGCTCTGGAAGGGAGAGGGTAGCAGGGCAATGCATTCCACAGGGCCTGAAATACATCTTGACATTCCATTGGTAAAGTCCATTTCTTGATCACAGGACACTGGTCCCACTTTTTTGTGGGCTCAGTTTGGGGCAGGTCCTTCTGGGCCATGAGCCAGGCTCTCGCTTTGGCTCAGGTCTGGGCAGGCAGAGCACAGGCACATCTCTGATTCCGGGGGCAGGAAACCTCACTAATTATTGATTAAAAGATTTTACTAAATCTTTTCCACAAGCAACAGCTGGCAAGGAAAAACCTGATGAATTATAGATCAGTGGCCCTGGAGCCCCCAGGCTCCCATCCTCCCCCGCTGCCTGTACCTTGGCAGATTCCCAGCCACAGTTTTACCCATAACAGGTCTTCAACAGGGCTGGAGAGCCCCTGCTGGGAATCAGAGATGGATGTGGGTCCTGATCCATCTCCTGGATGGGAGGGAAGCAGTGCCTGGGAAGAACAGTCTGGCCCCACTCTCACAGCCACCCTCATTGGGGCTTTCTTATGAGCAAATGTGCTGAGCAGAACCAACACCTCCCTCCTCTCCCCAGCTGCAGCTCCTGCTCTCACTCTGCCGGCTCCTGCACTGAAATTTCAACAGTCATTTGTTGTCTTATTTTCCCAGCTCGCCAGTAATTTTAAAACGAGGGGAATCTAATTTAGTAAATGAGATGTTTCGGGAAGGCTTTAATTAGCTGCAGAGAGAGGCAGTGGGTCCTGTACTTGCTGAGAGCTGTGCTCCCAGGCTGAGGCTCCCTGGTGAGGGCTTAGCAAGGCTTTCAGGGGGGTGTTTAATAAACCCTGGGGGTTTAGACCAGAGGGAGGGATGCAGAGATGGAGGCAAAGGAGTGTGGGATCACATGAGCTCTTCCAACCCTCACACCAAACCGCTGCCCCCAGCCTTGAGGGCAAAGCTCTGCTCTGCTCCCCAAACACTCCCTCTCCATGGGACAACCTCTGGCCAGCTTTGTCACACAAAAAACAAATCTGGTTTGCTTTTTTTATTGCACATGACTGGGTGATTTCCCCAGGCCATGCAAGCCCCAGTGCCTTGTGCCAGGAGGAGGTGGTGTCTTTGTGGGGACGTGGCAGGAGCAGAGTGAGTGCACCTGCAGCTGATGAAACACCTTATCTGGAGAGACCTGGGCGACGTGGCACAGCCGGAGGGGACAGGTCCCCGCCTGTTCCCCCCTACAGCTGCAGCCCCACAAACAGCCACGTTCCTGGAGGCAGCAGGGCTGAAACTCAAAAGCAAGAGCAGGGGCCCAGAATAGCCCAGCCCAGGCTGGGGGGAGCGGGGCAGAGCCAAACCCACTGGGGCGGCCGTGGGGGGGGACGGCACAGTCCTCTCGCTTTGGTCCTGCAGTTGTGCCAAGCTCCATGGCCTCTGCCCTGCCTGAGCTGGGGGTGCAGCCCCCAGGAACCTGCAGGGGCAGCTGGTGGTTCCTGCACCCCATCCTGACATTCCCCCCGCTCACGTAGCCGCCTGCCCTGAAAGACTCGGGGAAAGGCTGTTCAGAGCCCAGGCTGTGCCACGCCAGCACTGCCCCCCCATTCCCCCCAAAGCCAGCCTCACCATGCAGCTGTGTGACTGTGGGGCATCCCCTGGCTAAATTTATCCCTCACCCACTACAGTCCCCAATCAGAAATTTGAAAGGGTGCCCCAAAAAGGGAAGTGAAACTGTCTCCAGTGGGTGCTGACGTGTGAAGACAAGCAAGCACCACGCCCTGACTTGGCTCAGCCTAAGATGGTGGCAGCTCTTGCCTCTGCCTTGCCAGGCTGTCACCTTGCAAGGCCATCACCTTGTGGGGCTGTCAGTCCCTGAGTTGGGGAGAGAGGTCTTGGGCTGGCCTGATGCTGCCCAAAATGGGCAGGGTGGGGGGGGTGGTGGTGGTGGTGGTGAACCAGCTGGATGGTGGACTCACTGGGGGCCACTGCCAAGGCTAGTGGGACTCTGTGCCGTGGTAGGGTGTGTGTCCACTGCCTAGATGTCCCCTGAAGGGTCTCTGGCAGGACCCCCAGTGGGGTCTTGCCTAACAGGGTGGTCCCTGCCCCAGTGTGGGATGTCCCAGCTGCTGCACATGCTCACACATATATGCACACCCACACACACCCACACACCCACACACACCCACACACACACCCACAAACCCCCCCACACCCCCTCCAGAGATCCCAGTGCATCCAGGCCCACCAGGCTGGGCACCACTGACCCCTCACCTGTGGGGTTTGGGGCCAGGGGAGACAATGACACTGCTCCCATCATACCCTTCTCACCCCGGCCACCACCACAGGGGGACCAGCCTGAGGCTTCCTGCTGCTACCCTGCTGCCAGGTCACCTTGAATCCTCTCTCATTAACTGAATTAAACTAATTAGTCCCTGCCTGCTGCCAGGCAGCCCTTTCACTGGGCTCATCCCTCAGTCCAACTTTCTGAAAGGTACAGGGGCAGCCTGCAGGCTCACAAAATGTGGGGCAAGTTTCCCCAAGTCTGAGAAACAAAAGACAGGTAATAAATGAATAAAATACAGGTTATACATTAATAAAATACAAGATATAAATTATAAAATACAAGTTATGAAAAAATACTATCAAACACCCCTGGGCAACCCCAGGTCAAACACCCAGCTGGAGACAGCCAGAGAGCCCAAAGCCA